ATAATAATAATAATAATAATAATAATAATAATAATAATAATAATAATAATAATAATAATAATAATAATAATAATAATAATAATAATAATAATAATAATAATAATAATAATAATAATTGTTATAATAATAATAATAATAATAATAATAATAATAATAATAATAATAATGATAATAATAATAATAATAATAATAATAATATTATTATTATACTTAAAAATTGTAGTTATGGGCGGTACAGTAAGTTGAGTGTGAGAACAAAACAAAGTCAGTGACATGACATCATCTTTATCAAATTATAAAGGGTCTTAATTTACACTAGCTGTTGCAGGTCACAACTAATAGCCTGACTGAATTTTTTAACCACCCTCTATAAGAGTTATCAGTTTTATCTGTCACATTAATAACTACTTTTAATCATTCACCCTGTCACTGATCCTGTGTCCCGTAAATTAATATGTTCTTCATATTGATATATAATTTGATATTAAACCTTCAACGGTGCTCCCATTAGTATTTTACAAAATGTTTACACATGCAGTTATATATTTTGGATAGACAATGCATTGTACTTTTTAAACTTGCTATAACATGCAAAATATAAAGGCTTTTAGTTTAGAGACGTAACCTATATTTATATTTACAAAATGTATCCCATTTATTATAAATAAAATCAGTCTATTAATTCCTTCAATTCAATATTCTACAAACGTCAAAGAAATTGTAAGCATTTGTGCATCTCTAAAGTTGTTCATATGAACATTTTTGCATTTTACCTTATTTTATTATGTTTATATTGTACAGCTCGGAATCTGTGGAAACGTGCAAAATGCTAGAACCACACTTCACACACAAATTTGCCTTCAAAATGAGCTGTCTTACTGTCTCTATTGCCTTTTACTTTTTTTTTGCTCCTTTGACTTGCTGTCAGTGAGTGTTGTACTAACATTTGTTATAGAATGACAAAGTCGTTTGTTCTGTGTCATGGGCAGGATATTGCTGGATTCTGCTGGCAGTCCCACAATCCCTATGACAGCTTTCAGGGACCCGGTCAGAGCAGTGTCATTTACTAGAACATTAAGCACTGGAGAGCCATCGACAAGAAAATGACACGGGGTAGAGCAGATTAACTGCCTTTGACCACAGGAAGGACATTTAGCCTTCTTCTCTGAGTGTTTCAAGAGATGGATTGTGTCACAGGAACAATATTTTCAAATGGACAATTAAATTACCAAATCACGACACAGTCATTGAGCTCAGCTTTCAAATTTATAAAAATCTAGCCATCACTCCAGCATGTGACGATTCTATTTTTTTTTTTTTTTTTTTACATCTTTAA